AGGACGAACAGAGGAGAATTCTCCAAAAGCTCAATAAGAGCACAACTTTTCTCATAATCTAATGACTAAAGCAATAATTAAAATTGCTACCCTTAATGTAAAGGGACTTAACGATCAAAACAAAAGACAAAAGACAATGACACTTTTAAAATCATATAATTTAGATTTAATACTATTACAAGAAACAAATTTGAACAATCAGACAACACAAACTTTTATTAAGAAGCAATGGATATACAAATCAATATGGACAAACAAAACTGCTATATTGGCAGGAAGAAAAGAAATAAAATTTCAGAACACAGAGGTTTTATATGAAGGAAGAGTAATCTTCACAAGCTTTACTTATAGAGGTCACTCCTTCTCAATTACAAATATTTATGCTCCTCCGAATACAAAAGACAGGATAGCCTTCTTTGACAAGTGGTCTCTGCAATATAAAGAAAACACTATCAACATTTTAGTAGGAGATTTTAACACAAATCTAGATCCTGCTATAAACAGAATAAGCCAAGCTTTAGCTCAAAGTAATAATTCTAGAACTCAACTCAAGGACCTGATGAAGAATTATATAGACTCTGCAATTTATGCAGAACAAAAACCTTTTCTCACATTTCATCAAAAGGTTCAAAATAACCAAACGATAGCAACTAGACTTGATTACATCTTTATAGATGAGAACTATGAACACCTTATATCATCCACAAAGCTGCTCTTTGGCAACTCAGACTATTTATTAATTGAATGCACCCTTGCTGAAAAACAGAAGATCAATCAATTCTCTAACTGGAGGTTTGACAAGAACTCTTTTAAAAATGAACTCTTAAAAAAAGAGATAACAGATAAAATTATGTCTTCTGAAGATACAGCAGAATGGGACCTACAAAAGCTAAGAATACAGTCAATTATAAGAGCCTTCAAAAAGCCAAAAGCTTCAGAAACCAAGATCTCAAAGATCAACAAAAAACTCACAGAGCTTCAAGAACGAATTGCAGAAGACCCAACTAAATCCTACCTATACTCTGCATGTAAAGATCTCAACTCCCACATGCAGGAAGAACTAACACTCCTGGCAGACAGGTGGCAAATTCGCTCAAAAGCAAGATAAATTGAACAAGGAGAAAAGTTTACAAAATACTTCTTCTCTTATTACAAGTCTCGATATGCAAACTCAGCCCTCTCAATGGTTAAAGAATCTAACAACACAAACAAGAGCAGTAAAGAAGATACTCTAAAGTTCATTAAAGATCAATATGAAAGATTTACAAAAAAGAAAAAATAGATCAGAAGGCAATCGACAAATTGACTAACAATTTGGCACAAGTGTCAGAAGAACTAAATGCAGACTTAATCAAACCTATCATACAGGAAGAGATTAGCCAAACAATAAGACAACTTCTGAACAACAAATCACCAGAAATTGATGGCCTTACTTACGAGTTCTATAAACTTATAGAAGAACAGATAGTTCCAGTCCTTGAAAAAACCTTTAATCAAGTCCTAACAACAGGAATGCTCCCGGCATCTTGGTGCAAAAATATGATAACTCTAATACCTAAGAAGTCAGCAAACTTAAACAATCTGGATAACTGGAGCCCAATTTCATTAGTCAACTGTGACACCAAAATTTTCATGAAAATTTTGGCTACCAGACTAAATGAAGTTTGCAAATCTATAATTCCAGATCATCAACAGGGATTTGTTACAAAAGATCAATAGCGGATGCAGCCTTGGATATCCTTACAACAATGAAAAATCAAACAGACATTACCAAACAACACTGAATGCTTTTTGTTGATCAGAAAAAAGCCTTTGATAGGGTAGATCACACATATCTGCAAACAGTGTTGGAAAGGATGAACTTTGATATAAGATTCAGAAGCGTAATTGAAAATTTGTTCTCAAACCAAGAAGCACATATTATGGATTCTGGGAACATCTCAAGTCTCTTCAGAATAGAAAGAGGAGTCCGTCAAGGAGATCTTCTCTCTCCTCTTCTTTATGTTATAGCTTTTGAACCATTACTGAAAGCAATAGAAAATGAAATCCAAGGAATACCAGTTCAAGGACACTATTTCAAAACAGTAGCATATGCAGATGATCTAACAATAGGGATAGGATCTCTCTCAGACTGGAACTGAGTACTAAAGTTATTTTATATATATGAAAATGCTTCTAATGCTAAAATTAATGAAAGCAAAACAAAACTAGTACCACTTACGGTTATGGCTAGAAGAGTTGGGCTGACAAAAGAAAAACAATTTACAAAGGTGACAGAGCAAGAAGCAATCACAATACTAGGTTATAAAATCTATTCAGATGGAACACCCAAAAAAGACCTATGGACTACGGTCATCACAAAAATTAAAAGTCTTACAGACAAGTTTTCTCAAAGAAACCTCTCCTTTAGAGGAAAAATCCTAGTAGCAAACTTGCTTATACTTGCACGGATATGGTATGCAGCATACCTTTTACCTCCGAGCAGAAAGCAAGTTGCAGAAATCAACAGGCTAATCACTATATGGATCAAAAATAATTCAAGAATGCTTCCTAGATACTCAACCTTTCAGTTATCATACGAATATGGAGGTCTTCAAGCCCCAGTAGTTAGCAATATGCTTGATGCAAGAATGCTAACTGTATGGATAAGACTAACAACTGGTGACAGTCTATGGGCAAAAATTGAATAAAACAGAATCTCTTCCTCTTTAAGACACAAGAGGGACATTACAGCACTACAAGCGCTAACATCAGTCCCAATCAGATCTAAAGCCTGGCCAACAGAATGGAAACCATATCTGGCAGCATGAAAAAAATTCAGGGAAAAATAAAAGCGAATCATAGCTAGCCTTGGAAGATAGAAGACCTCATAGTTAATGAAAAACAAAATATGGACTTTACAGTAAAAAATCTAATAGGAATCCTAAGAAAACAAACAATTGCTCCAACAAATATCATACTTTCAACAGAAATTAAGATGGATTGGCTATTTACCAAGGCAGCCAATAATAAGAAAAAAGATATATTATGGTGCATGTACCACAAGCCCTTCTATTAGGATACCAGCTTCGGTATATATCTACAACAGAATCAGGAGATTGTCTTTGGTGCCCAGATGAACTCCAAACAATAGAACACTTTGCACTTGAGTGCAGTACAAGTAAAAGAATATGGAATGAAGCTTATAAGCTTCTAAATATTAAAGAAACACAAATCCCATCTTCAATTGAAGAAATTTTCACAGCAAAAAATTTTAATGATCCTAAGTATTATAAAGCAGCTCTTTGGCTTCACACAAACACAATCTATGAAATCTGGTGCTGGTTTACATCACATAAGTGGGGCAACTCAATAATACCAGAAACAGTAATACCCTCATATATTAGAAATCGCATCTCCAAGGAGATAAAAGTAATAACTTCAAATTTAAATAGCAATCTACAGATAAACTCTATCTGTAAATATTTACAATGTATATAAATGAAAAATAATTTCATAAATAAAAGAGCACCACACGTGCCCGAAGATGGTTACATCATCAGTATAAAAAAAAAAAAAAAAAAGTTTGAACTACTATTTATTAGTAAAATGTTGCGTAATTTTGGAAAGAAATTTTTAATTCAAGTCTATTGCAATCCCAAATCTTGGTCGATCTGCTGAATTTTGGTCATGCTGCTAATATATTTATTTTAAATAGCATAATAATCAGCAGAAGTCATTTCTTTAGAACTATTCAATTATGCTCAATCCACTTTTCCATATATGTGTGCATAGTATAATGCTTGTGTGCATAAATAAACCTAACCGTATCGACTTCATATCATGTAAGGTTAGATTGTGCAACTACTTTGCTGTTTATGACATACTTACGTATAAGATCTACAACGAAAATTTCCTCAGAATTCTAGGAAAGAAAACTTTTGTCAGGCTATTTTTGTATTATGTAGATAAATGTAGAAATATCTATTGCTGTAGCTATAGCTATTGCTATTACCCACTATATGAAAAAAAAAACCACAAATTTATTCAAAACAAATCCAAAACACAAATTAAATATAGATAAAAAGGTTCTAATTTTATTTTATTGTTAACTCTTTACTAGACTTACAAGTATATTCCTATATTTTTATGTATTTTTTTTTTCAGATTTTTTACAGAACAGATGAATTGATAATGTAATGCAACCAAGTTTCAGAATTAAACTTTGGCTTGTGGAACATGGGTAATATGTAGTGTAACTCTATAATAGTCTAAGCAAAGTTTATAGTAAAGAGTATACTTTAATTAGACTTTTATATAGTTATACAACATACTGTAAATAGTAAATAGTCAATTTGTAGTTTAATTATATGTATAAGTATAGAAATATAGAATATTAGTATTGAGGGTTAGTTTTTTAGAGGTACTTTGGTTTTAGTAGATTTTTGTCTTACGGGTTGTTTTGTATTGAGCTCTTAGAAGTTTGAAACTTGCTAAGTAGCTAGGGAAATAAGGGTATTAGTATTGAAAGAGTGTTTGGGACACTATATAGGAATATTTGTTTGAACTCTTTTGGTGCCTTTTGTGACAATAAATTAGTTAGTTCATTTCTTATTAATGCTTACAGTCTTCTGCTAAATTGGCACAGTTGATATTAAGTCTCTCTCTTGACTGTAACATTTTTAGTGCCAATTGTGTGGACGATACAAAAGAAAAAAAACAGGAGTTAAATCAGTACTTTGAGTAGATAAATAAAATAAAAATTGATAATAATCAAAGTCAGAATAAGTGAATAAAAGCCTTTGTTTTGCATCGAGTACAACTATTAAAGATACTAACGATAACAATGACAAATAAAAGATAATAAACAAACGAACGAACAGGATAATAAACGAAATAATCAATGAAACATTATCGAATTAACGAGTAGATATAATAACCTGAAATCAAGTTGATAGTAGATGTTGAATAGGATGAACAGAACAAACAGAACAAATATCTGGGGATGTCTGATGAATCAAATGTGCAGTAATAGGCAAGAAGAATACACGGCACATATACAAAGTGATGGTCATCCCTTGGAAGAGCCTACCTTATTAGATGAACCCAATTCTCCGCTGGACAAAACCCATGCTCAACCACCTTGGGATCAACTTCTTCAACACATGATGAATCTGATGTCAAGGCAACAAGTAGCCCAACCTGAGCTGAAAGAACACCATTTGTGCATATACCAGTCTTTATAGATGATAATCAAGACCCTATAGAGTGGTTGAAAGCTGTTAATAGGGCGTTTGAAGCTAACAATATGGTAGAAGCAAGAAGACTTTTGATCGTCAGCACTTATTTTTCTGGGCTTGTGGCTTTTTGGTGAGAAGGTCAAAGGATAAAAAGACCAGGCCTACAATACTGGGATAATGAATATAATACT